CTGTCTCTGTCTCTCTCTCTCTCTCTCACACACACACACACACACACACACACACACACACACACACGTGCGTGCATGCACACACACTCTACCTCCAACTTTTGGATAAGATGTAAGCTCCCAGCTACTGTTTCAGCCTCATGCCTGCCTGCCTGCCATCATGCTTCCTACAATGATGATCATGGACCAATTCTGTGAAACTGTAAGCAAGCCCCCAATTAAATACTTTTTAAATACTTTTTTTTTAAAAAAAAAGTAAGTTGCCTTAGTCATGGTGTCTCTTCACAGCGAGAGAACAGTAATTAAGATAGTGGCTCATTGTGTGCTGAATTCCAATAGGATCAGGTTAATGCCATGGCCAGAAAGTACTAAGAGAGTCTGCAGAAAAGATACCTAGGAGGAGTTCATACCAAAGGCAATATTTAAGGGATGAGGAGAGGTAAATTAAGTGAGGAAGCTCAAGGAAAGCTACCTGAAGCAGGTGGATCAGATTGGGCAAAGGTTCTCAGTCAGGATCAAATCCCTAGGAGCAGCGAGTGTGTGTGTGTGATGGTGAAGGGCCATGGACTTCAACTTCTGTCATGCTCAGATGACTTTCTTTCTGATGCTATAAGGAGCTTGAGGTAGAGTTAAGACTTTGATTAGGAGGTAGAACTGGAGTTGGTTCAAGCCTGTTCAGAGCAAACCAAGAACGTCATTACAGGATATCATACTTACTATTGGGTAGAAAACTAGAAGCCAAAAGTACTTACTTTGAAATGGGTGTAGGGTGGCCTTTCTATTTTTAAAATGTTATGGGCTTTCTTTCCCAGTATCTCCATTTTGCAGTAACCAGGTAACAGGCTAATCTCTCAGCAAAGGGAACATACAAAGAGAAGGTCAGAAGCCAGTGAGTTTTGAGTAAAGGCAGCCTTAATGCACACTGTTCTCCCATGTACTATTTTTTTTTCTTTTTCAAACTGAACCAACATTTAAAAATAGATTTCCCAGCTTTTCTCTAAAAATCAGATGATCTGGCAACACCAAGCCCTCATTCTCACACGTGAACAACTGACTGGAGGTGAGTGGCCGCCACCCCTTTAGAGGAATGTTAATTAGTAGCTTGCCACTGTCCACAACCATTCTTGTATTCCCAAGTCACATGAAGCATGACCTGGTCACCAGGATCTTTGGTCATTGTCATGGCCTATCCCTGCGATAGTGTAGTGGGTCTGTGGCTCTTGGTTTAAAGGCCAAGGTCAAGGCTTTGGATTAAACTTGGGTTGAAATGAGATATCAAAAGCACTGAACGGAAGATTAAAGAAGGTATTCCATGATTGACATATCCTGTAGAATATAGAGGTTATTATGAATGAGTGTCCGTCAAGAGTGTAAATTGTAGAAAGCAAGCAGAAACCCAATTAGTTTCATTCTTGTTGTATCCGGAACACACACTAGGTGTTCAGTAGCTATTTATTGAATGAATGAATGAGTGAGTGAGTGAGTGAATAATGGGAGAGTTCAGTGGATTTAAAGGCTGTTTTGTTTTTGTTTTTTTAATAAAACTTTTCAGTAAGGCAAGCCTGACAATACTGGTTTGCTGGAATTCCAACGTACATCCAGGAAGAAAAGCCCACCAGAATGCGCCAGGCTCCGTGACTGCGTTCGGGTGATACGCGGCAGTCCCTCGGGAGCCAGGTGGGTTAACTTGCCTAGGACAAGACAAAGTTACGTCCATGAGCTCTTTCACTACCTGGTAAGGAGCAGTTTGATTTCCGTACTTTTCCCTAGATCTCTTCCATTTGACGAGCCAAGACCGAGACCCACCCCTAAAATCCAGCACCCAGCGCCTGCCCAGCGTGCAGGACTATGCCCATACTAAACATGGCCAGTCTTGGGCTTCATGCCGCAGAACCACGCCCGGAGCCTGGAGCCTTAGGATCGGTTTGCAGGGACAGTACTATTCCCACAGTCAACATGGCGGCGGCGCAGCTTCAGCGTGGGGCGGGGCTGCG